CAAATTGAAAAATAAATGTATATCCATATGGAATCCCACTAAACATCAATAAAAAGAAATCATGGATGAAACTTGGAGACCTTTTGGGAATTCAAGCCATTTAGAAAGATACCACCTGTTGTATAATACCATTTTTTTGTGTAAAGTTTAAAATATGCAAATTTATTTATTTAATTTTTGGGGAATAAAACCTAGGGTGCCTAAAAACTGAGTTACAACCGTAGCCTGTTTTGTTTTAATGCTTTTTAAGATAAAAAGTCATAGTTGGGTACAATAACTTTCTTTTATTTTCATGTGGTGATGAGACTCAAACCAAGTGCCTCACATGTGCTAGGCAAGCACTCTACTACTGAGCTACAACCACATCCTCACCTTTTGAGAGAGCGACTCATTTGCTGTGGGACTTGGTAAGTTGCTGAGGCTGCCTTTGAACTTTTGATCATCCTGCCTCAGCCTCCCATGTTGCTACGATTATAGGTATGTGTCACCTTGTCCAATTTCCAGAAGAGGAAAATTTATATAGACAGAAATTAGATTGGTTATTCTCTACAGATGGGGATTGGGGAAAAAAGGAGGAAATAAGAAAGGACTGCTAATTTGTTCGGGATTTTTCTGGGGATGATTAGAGTGTTCTTCAGTTGTGGTGTTGGTTTTACGATTTTGTGAATACACTAAATATCATTGAATTGTTAATGTTAAATGGTCAGTTGTAGGCTGTGTGAATTGTATTCCAATAAAGCTGTTACAAAAAGTGATGTAAGTGAATGATTCTTATGATTATCTGTAAATGACTGAGTTGTGAAAATGCTGTCATGTCATGCTGTTAGATAATAAAGGAAATTGAGCCAAAGTTCTATCCCTGCAGTGATTCATGGCTCAGAACCAATTTGTCTAATACTTGGTACATATAAGTCACATATTCACTGCCTTCATAGATATCTTCTCAGTACTTTCCTAAGAATTGAGAAAATGTTTTCCAATTGGGGTCATTACAAAAAATTAATTAACTCAATACATATTTAATGAGATTCATTATATTTGATATATTATCTTCAAACAGCATGGCACCCTCTGTATTCCAATCAATCTGAGCCTCTTTCTGTTTATTACATGTCCCACACTCTGATTTACACACCCTTACATGTACTTCTGGGATGCTTTTCCTACCATTTTTTCTGCTGAGTTGAGATTTACCTTCAGCTCTTGGGTTACACTTATCTTCCCCTAGGATATTTGCCTGAAATCAGGTTATTTTCCTGCTCTGTACAGAAAGAGTCCATTCATTGACCTCCTTTAATAGAAAGCACTTATCACAATCTTTGCTCAGAGACTAGGAGCTCCTTGTGGGAAGGGATCATGTCTATCTTTTCCTTCTCTGAGCCTGTGGACTGAACATAATGTAGGTTTTTTTTAATATTTCTAGTCATAATTAAATATAAAACATTAGTGATGGGCAATAATCAAATATGAAACCATAAATGGAATTTCTGCTTATTCAACAAGGGTTAAATCTGGATGGAAGAAAATAGTTTATAAACTATTTTTACTGAGTGGAACATGATGGAGATTTATTAAAAATTCCACGAACATCAATATTTTCAGATTCAAATGAGCTATGGGAAAGCTGCAATCTAAAAGCTATGTGTTAAGGAAAAGTTTCCTTGCTCACAATAGGATCCACACAGGAAGGGTCAGGCCTTTATTTTCTATTGAATGTTATGTCCAGATGGTACCCAGGCCTATGGCTAAAATTTTGGTAAAACAAGATCAAGAACAAGAAGCCTATTCAGTAAGGTTAGAAGCCAGAATGTGGAGTTTGTTTATGAGTTATTAAATTTGTTATACCTTGAACCATTATACCAGTGGATTTTTTGATGCATAATTTTTCTTTATAGGTTTTTATCCTAGCTAGGATATAGCTAGGATAACTGAGTTATCCTAGCTCTGTCAAGGGTATTATTTCTGGTCCCACATCATTACCGGGGAGACAAGGATCAGTTTATTACTGACTTGGGAACCTCCCAGGGACTTTGACAAGCCTACCTACTTTGGTTCTTGAGATGGGCTAAACTCACTCAAGGCTGTATCATTTCCTATAATATCCACTTAAAGGATGGAGACTCTAATTTTGGGAGTGGGCTACTGCATGAACTATGAGAGCTAATTCATATTTGCAATGTATTGTTTTACCTACTCTTAGCCCAACTCACTTAGGGATGAAGTGAAGCGTGTGCCTCGAATGTGTAAACCAAAAGAATTGGACTGGAGTAACCTCATTCCATCCTAGTACACTGGTGGTCTCATTGATATGTTGGCTCTGGTAAGTGTGGGAGGATGACTCCTGTGTGTGGCATTGTCAGCTCATTTTTGGTATAAATACCTCTGCTATTGCTGAATTAAAGCTGCTAACAATTTCATAAATGTTTTACAAGATTCTTGCATATTTATGGGTCAGCTTGTGTGATGTGATCTGGCTCCAGCATTCCACTGAGTGTTGCCAAACTAAGGGAGATTTTGGGGGTTCCTGGTGCCTTTGTTCTCACAGATATGCTCCTTATATAGGCCCATGGTTAATGGCAAGGTTATGATAGGCTGTGGCCCTGAACTCACGTTGTCTATACTATGGAGAGAAGGGAGCAGTGGCAGGTTTCACAGCCCAATTCCAACAGAGGAGATGGAATTATAGGAACTATGTTCCAGTCTCTGTCCAGGGTTCAAAACTTATCTATGCCTCTCACACTCCTACCCCTCAGATATATACCACAAAACTGAGGCAGGCAGAGATACAGTAACTTTGCTAAACCCACAAACAAGTGTTGGAGCTGGGATTCTTCCTCAGACTTTACTTTCCCCCAAACCAGACTTCTTAGCATCTCTGTTATGAGGCCTTTCCTAGGAAATTGGTACAATAAATCAGAATATTGTACTGATGAGTTCTGGGAACAGGACAAAGGCATGTTTATTTGAATGATATCTCACAATCACTAGTCTAAAGAGAAACTTGTTACAGTGACTTGCTTTAACAAGGGAAAATTATTATCCACAGAACCAGATCGTTGTACCAAGTTTGAAACCCTTTGAATCCTATTCTCTGGAAAAGATACTAAAATATGTAAGCAAATAAAGTTGGAGAGCATGAGGCATAACAGTTAACTTCATACACCCCTGGTGAGACTGGAATGTAGGCTTGCTATGTGCATCATGATTTAAATGTAAAATCAGTTTGATTTAGACACATTACTTCCAAAACACTTAAGGAAATGATTGGACAGATAAAAATTTCTAAGCAATGGTATTTAACCTACATACATTTGAAAATTTGAACAAGTGGAATGGACGTTAATACACACCTGTAAAGTTTTGATTTTGAGAAATATACTACTTCCATGCATGGGGTGATATGCATTTAAACTTCTAGGTGTCTTTTTTTGGCATGAGAATGCCATTTTTTGGACACATAAACACGAAACATCCCTGAAAGCCACAATATTGCATTATCTTTTCTCACATGGGGATTCTACTCCATCTTGGACTTCAACAAGTCCTCCTGCTCCTAATACACTCCATTTCCCCCTCCTTTGGGTCTAAAAGCATGCTGAAGAATGTTTTCTGTGCTCCTTCTGAACCACTGTGAATAAAAGCAACAACAGCCTTTCACCAACATGTCCTGATTTGTATTATCCAAGTAAGGAAAATCTTTAAAAATTACATCTGTGGGCCTGGGGCGTTAGCTCAGTGGTAGAGTGTTTACCTAGCACAAGTGAGGCCCTGGGTTCGATCCTCAGCACCACATATAAATGAATAAATAGAATAAAGGTATTAAAAAATTCCTACCTTTTAAAAAATTACATCTGTTATCTCTTCACTCCTGTCTATTGTGTGCTTCAGTCACAGAACTTCTTTTCTTCCCACTAATTACAGAGATTAAGGATGTTTGCACTTAGTGTAATGAGGTATAGGGCTTGGTAGACATTGTAAAACTTTCAGAGACCAGTCTTAACAAACACTGGTGGCACCACTGAGCAACAGCACATGGAGATGTAAACTTCAATATGTATACAAACTTGTTTAAAAACTGAATAAAAACAGTGTTTTATGCTGAGATTTTTTTTGAGTACTGAGGATTGAACTCAGGGGAACTTGACCACTGATCCACATTCTCAGCCCTATTTTGTATTTTATTTAGAGACAGGGTCTCACTGAGTTGCTTAGCGCCTCACTTTTGCTGATTTTGGCTTTGAACTTGCAATCCTTCTGCCTCAGCCTCCCAAGCTGCTGGGATTATAGGTGTGTGCCACCGTGCCCAGTTTATTGCTGGGATTTTGAGAAGGCTAGTTTAAGAGATTCAGACAAACTAGTGAGTTCAAACACACCATCTGATCCTGTGTTACTACCAGCAGGTTCCAGATGGGTGGCAAATTGATTTTACTGCATCATGTCTCTTACCCCAGTACCTTCCTTAGCCATATGAAGTATGGCTCTGGGCCCTTTATCTCTCATTCCTGTGGTTCCAGGATAGAGAATAACAAGTCAGTAAAATGTGGACTGGGAAACACTGGCTGGAACTAACAAGACTATGTAACTGTTTTCATTATAATGTTTTATCTACACTAAATACAAAATACATTTTCCCTTCCATTTAACTGATTCTTATTTTGGATACCCCCCCCCCCCTTTGTTTGGGCAAGAAAGGAATACTGTCTCTCTCTGAGTGGAATCCAAAATGTATTAAGAAAAATCAACCTTTTCTACACAGTTTTATTTTAATGGAAGGAAAACCTACCACATACATTTCAGATTGAAAGAGAAGCAAAACAAAACAAAACACTGCAAGTAATTGACCTTGGTTCCCAGGACAAAGATTTTTAAAAGTTGGGACTTTTCTTTGCAAGGGCAGCAACAATGTGCCTTATAGACTGGCAAAGCTTATCCAATAAGGAACTGTCCTGGTTCTACCTTATTTTAAAACAAAGTGAAAGGACAGCAACTCTGAGTATAAAATAGTTAAAAATAATTCTTTAAAAAAGACATGGAGACATATGTGTTTCCTAACTGGTTTTAGAAATTGCCAGGTTATGATATAAAAAGTAGCTGATGAAATAATATCAAAATCTCATCTAGAAAACTACATCATCAGGGGAGGAAAAAAGGGACTTGAAAAAAATGCTTATTGCCAAAGTTGACTTTCTGTAAGTTGAAAGATCACTTAGATTGAACAAACCACATAGCAACATAAAATGGGCACTTTTGAAGATTTTGAAAAATTATAAAAGCTGTTTTTTTTAATAGGGACAAACTTGAATACTATGACACTATTATCTTTCATCGTAACATCGATTACATGTGTTTATGTGACACATTTACAAAAGTCAACCAAATAAGGGAACTGCCTGTTTGAATCTGCCACTGAACCCAGTGCAATTGCTTGGCAGCCTGTACTTTCACCAGTGCCGCAGTCTGGCTGGGCACAATTCACGAGCCACTTGTCAAGCAGGAACGAACTTTATTTTTTGAACGCACGCAGCACCACGCGAGCTCTCCAGGAATTCCCCGAGAGCCCAACTGCCACCACCGGCTCTTCCGGGGAGCACCTCAACCAGAACCCTTAGGTCCCTGCTCTTGAGGCAGATTGGCTGGGTTGCATGGGCGGAGCCAAAAGAGTCCCCCAATGAGCAGCTCCGTGGTCTGAAAGGGCAGGGAAACAGCCCAATGAGCATCACCGCAGAGGAGCCAATCAGCTGGAAGTTTGCTGGGGCTGCTTCAGCTGCGGCTCTCAACATCTCCCCCTCTGTGTTTAATTAAACAACAAGCATGTGGCTTAGGGACTGTGCCTGTCTTAGGTTGTCCAATACTACATATGGTCCTTACCTGTCATTGGATGAGCTGACCTCAAGGCGTCAGCCTCCTGTCTTAGGTTGGTATCATTGCAATTGGATCTTACCCGTCATTGACTACCGGTCCAGCATACAGCCACACCTGTGGATAGGCCTTTGTACCAGTGTGGGGGGGTGAGGTTCTTTGCCTCACCTGTGTTGGCCCCCAAATTTTAGCTGAAGGACCATCACAAGCAGAAGGGAGGAGGATACAAAATGCCATGACACCAAGCCAATTGACGGCTCCTTTTGGAATAATTGTACCACTGATGACATCATCAGCAAAAATACCCCGGCACTATTACACATCGCTGCACCAACAGATAGTTCACAATGCATACAAGTGAGTTCACAATGCATACAAGTGATACATAGTCCAGGCAAGTTCTGCGAGCAGTTCAGTGATAGCTATTGCAGAAGCTGTCGTTTGGTTTTATCTTTGTCTTCACCGGCACTGGGATGGTGATAGGAATTCTGGCAATGATGGCTAAAGAAAAAATTATGTAACATTCCAGCAGGCACTAAAAGAAAGCAATTTTCTGAACAATTTACATTATCCTGAACAGAATTATTAAATATAATGAAAAGGAAAGGTGAAAGTAAACAAATGAAAAGGAAAGGTGAAAGTAAACAAACAGATCTGTTAACCTCCTTTTTTGTTCACATATTAAAACAATCCTCAACAGCTGTTTACCCAATTTAAATTAAACCATTTAAATCACGTGAATAAGAAAAAAATATTTGGATCCATTTTTTCATGAGTGCTCGTCATATATGATATATGGACATTCGCACATACAAACATACAACACAAAACACAAGTGTGCACACATAATATAATACATACAACACATAACATAATAGTAAAGGCCTTGTACCTTTTTCAGGTGAAATCTCCATTGCAATGTTTCCACATCTCTCCCCACTGGAGCCATACCATCCAGTTCATCATCAAATTCTGCAAACTGGGAAAACTCTCTCCGATGGTGTTCTGGAAATGCCCAATGAGCATCATCACAGAGGAGCCAATCAGCTGGAAGTTTTCTGGGGCCACTTCGGCTGCGGCTCTCAACACACCAGCATTAGAAGTCTGCAGAGATCACTAAGATAAAATAGTAAGACTAATAAAACTCTATACAAACTTTGAAAGATTAATGCCAGTTAAGGGCATTTACAGTGGCAGAGTCAGAAATATCCATTACACAGTCTGTGGGCACCCCAGTGCACATGTGTAGAAGCAGGGGCACACAGTGGCAACAGGAGATACTCCCGTCCTGCTTGGAGACCCAAGGCTGTGCTCCACTTTCCTTGCCTCTGCCTCTGACATCCTTTCAGCTTTCATCCCTAGATGAGGGGGCAGCTTGTGAGGTTGAGTGTTCCAGGCTGAGGGCACAGAGAGCTCAGCTCCAGGAGGCCATGGTAAGCATGGCTTTGGCAGGCAGGAGACGTGAAAGGTAGCCAGATGGAGCTGGGAGATGCAAGACCACACAATATTAAACAATTGAAGAGATTGAACCAGGTTATATTTCTAGTAAGCTCTAATGACAGGATGTGCTAGAGCTTTACCAGCCAATCAAAATTGCCTATTTCAATGATATTGTTATAGGTGCAGTGTGCTGCAGAGTGGATCATTCACAGGATCAGAAGAGACGAGATCAGAAGAGAAGAGATGTCTTGCACATTACCGAAAGCTAGGAATAGGAACTAAAATGTTAAATAATGCCTTAAAGATCTGTGGAAAAGATGGCACTTATTTTGACGGGGGGAGTACTGGGCATTGAACTCAGGCACTGGACCACTGAGCCACATCCCCAGCCCTATTTCGTATTTTATATAGAGACAGGGTCTCACTGAGTTGCTTACCTCCCTCCTTACTTTTGCTGAGGTTGAACTTGTGATCCTCCTATTCCAGCCTCCCAAACCATTGGGATTACAGGCATGCACCACTGCACCAGGCATGATGGCACTTTTGACAACATCTGTTTACATGTTTGGATCAGCAATGAGCCAGTAATTGATTTCAACAGGAAGTTTGGCTTTGAGACTATTGAGATGAAGAAGAACTACTGTAAGAGGATAGAAACTGCAGATCATATCCTCATGTCCTTCAGAAACCCCCCAAGTTTCTTCTGGTCAGAATGCAGATGTATAGAAGGCAGACAACTGAACAAATTACAAATGACCTATCTTGTACTTCCTTGTTACCAAATAAAAATGAATCACATCGATCCTCCACCTTTTCTTAAGGTCTCGTCCCTCCTTGTTCTTGTTTTTTCTTCTTTATTTTATTCCTCTAAAAGTTTTTTAGTTTCATAGTTAAAATACATAGTCCCCCAAATTTGGGTGTCAGATGATTTTTAAAAAATAAGCTGGGACAGGACTGGGTTTTGTTCAGATCATTTTTTGGGGCATGTAGAGAGTGACTTTAACAGGTTGATAACTTTTTATAAGAAAAGAGACATCTGAAATACACGTGTATTCATCCTATTTTCCCATCTTAAATAGTTAGAACTTTAATATCAGTAGTGATGGCTCATGAAACTTTCTTATTAGGCTTTAAAACAATGCACAGGACTTGAATTTTCTGTCATTTGACTTTAAAAGGGAGTTTTATAATAAGTTTTATAAGTCATGGTATTTATTTTCTTATGTAAAATTCTGGCATAAATATATCATCTTCAAATAGATTAAATAACAATTATTTTATGGGATATTTGTACATGCTTTCTTAACCTTAAGTTTTTATTTGAAAATGTGGAAGTAAAATAAAGTAAAATATACTTCTGTAGTCTTAACTGAATGCCAAGAAAAATACAAGAAAGGAAGATGGTTGATGACTAAGTTTATAGGGCTCTAATTTGAAATTAGTAAAAATGTAGAAAAACCATGCTGGTATTTTCAGTATAAGTTCCTTAAATAATCCAAATATAGGCCTAGAAGAAAAGTTTAGCATTAAGTACCTTTACCTTTGTGGATAAGCTTCAACTTGTTCTTGCCAAGAGAACAGTGCTTGAGTTATAGAAAGCATAATTAGTGTGAAGATATCAGATATAAAAATATATTTTGATATATAACTGAGTTTTCTTAGATGACACTGCCTCTATTTCTATAAGCATTTCACCTGGACTATTTAAGCAGTCCTATGAATGTGATTATCAAAAACTTAATAACTGGGTTGGGGTTGTAGTTCAGTGGTAGAATGCTAGCTTAGCACTTGTGAGGTGCTGAGTTCGATCTTCAGCATCACATAAAATATAAATAAATAAAGGTATTGTGTCCACCTACAACTAAAAATAAACCTGAATAGCTGCCTCACAATTAAGTATATGTCACCTTTTAAAAAAATTTTATAGTTGTAGATGGATAGCATGCCTTTATTTTATGTTTATTTATATGTGGTGCTGAGAATTGAACCTAGTGCCTCACACATGCTAGGCAAGCACTCTGCCACTGAGATATAGCCTCAGCTCCTATATATCTCTTTAAGAGGGAAAAATATTAGAGTTTGAACTGAGTGTGTAGGCTCCCTATCATCATAATTTCTTTTTCCACACTAATCAATGACCTAACCTAAGTTCCAAGTGTTTGTAAAGGGTTAATTGTCCTACATATAAACTTGTATTAAATAATCCCATCCACTAGATAAAAAGATGTGGCAGTGGTAGAAGCTGGGCACAGGTCACATGCCTGTGATTTAGTAAAGAGTAAAGTAATGTCCATGTTAAGTTAGTTATTTTGATACATGATGAAAAATAATCTTTCAGGTAAAATAGTCTGTTAACTGGAAGATCATAGAATATTTCCATCATATTTTTCAGGATTGATAGTTTTTGCTGTAAGTCACATTGGTTAAAATGGTATTACATGGTCTTTGCACTTGGGTTCTAAATAAAATAATGTGTAGAAAAATCTATAATTTTCCATATTAGTTTTCATATGGGGAAAGGAGTTCTGAAATATCTCCAAAGCAGTTTACTCATCAGTTGAAAGTCCTCCAAAAAGAGAACTGTTGGGAATTTGTAGTGTGTAATCACGGGAAAGCTCCTTTAGTTTTTGGAGGGAATAACTTTACGACTCCTTAAATGGCTAAGTTTACTTGGCACAGTTAAGAATCAAACTTGTCAATATTAATATTGATGTTACACATGAAATAAACATATATGATATTCTGGAGAAAATGTTTATCCTTCCACCCAATTGGTTGTACTGAATTGAAGTGGATTGTTCAGTTTTTCCCTCCCACTTTGTATACCCGCATTCAATGAACACAGAATAAAGGACTATGTTTATAAGACTACAGGGAAGTGATGGAACACCAGAGCTAACAAAATATTACATAGAAACCTTTTGTGTAGGGCTGGGGCTGTAGCTCAGTAGTAGAGCACCTGCCTCACATGTGTGAGGCACTGGGTTCGATCCTCAGCACTACAGAGAAATAAATAAATAAAGATATTGTGTCCATACAACTAAGAAAATTTTTAAATAAGAGAACCCTTTTGTGTAAAGGCCTTTAGAAAGTTTAGGCTGACCATCCTTTGCATGTTGAGGTAAAAATACCATCCACTGCATTAGAAAAGATAATTTATATGTATGTATTGCTTTAAAACTGACTCAGTTTTTGTTGATGCACTAGACAGTGTTGCAAAGTGTAAATTCAGTGCAACTTTTCTGAGCTGCTGCTAGATTACCTTTGAAGTCAGCTTGGGTCTATCTAGCATTTGAAACATTGTAAGGTTGCTTGGGGTGCCAAACTGATTATTTTCCGCAGCTCAAGCAAAATACATTGTGTGCTGGTTATCATGGTGGCTCTGCACAGCCTTAGCCAAGGTCTGAGGATCCCAGGCTGTTTTCTGTCCTTAGACACAAATCATTTCTGCACTGACATTATCTTTATCATCAAAGGATACCTTTCCCTAAATGCTACAAGTTGGGCATATTATGCAGGGACTGGAATGGAGACTGAGCATCTGTTTCTTTTTAATTTTTTTTTTTGGGGGGGGAGGTGGTACCAGAATTCAACTCAGGGGCACTTGACAACTGAGCCACATCCCCAGCCCTATTTTGTATTTTATTTAGAGACAGCATCTCACTGAGTTGCTTAGTGCCTGGCTTTTGCTGAGGCTGGCTTTGAATTCATGATCCTCCTGCCTCAGCCTTTGGAGCCACTGGCACACAGCTTGGGTGTCTGTTTCTTTGCAGACAGCATAAGCTACAACAGTGTAGCAATATCTTTAATGTAGTGAAAGAAAAATATTAATTAGTCTGGAATTATATATCTAGTGAAAAACACTTTCAAAAACATTGGAAAAATGAAGACTTTTTCAGAAGCACAAAAGGAGAATTTGTCATCAGCAGACTGTATGACAAGAGACTTTATTTCATTTTATTTTTATAGCACTATTGTGATGTAATTGATGAATGAAATTGTATATATTTAAGGTGTACAATGTGATGATGCGATTGTGAAATTATTACCACAATGAAGTTGGCTATTCATTACCTATATAATTACGTTTTTGTGCTATGAGAACATATATATTTCAAGTATACAATATTGTATTAATGATAACCATTATGCCATAAAATAGGTCCTCAGAACTTATTTACGTTATAACTAAAAGTTGGTACTCTTTGACCAACATTTCTCCATTCTTCTATACCCCCACCTTGCCTTGCCCCAGCTCTTGGTAACCATCATTCTACCCTTTGTTAAGAGTTCTACATTTCTTAGGTTCTATTACATTTTAAGGCTTGAGAATAATCCTCTTTGGCTTGATGCTATGTTCTTTGGGCTCAATGGAGTGCCAGTTCTGCCTTCTGGGCCATAAGTATAGGTCCTGCTCCCTTGCTTTTGGGCAGAAACTCCCCAAAATTCAGGAGGTTGCTCTACCCTCTGAAATTGAGGAGGAAGTTAGCTCCATCCCCCTGAGTTGGCTATTTTGGCCTATAGTGGCAGTGGCAGACTTGCCAACATCTACATCTGTGGCTATTCCCTCAAAGTTATTCTTTTTAAATTTTGTTCCATTTCATTCCCTTTCATTCCCAGTTAGCCTTCAGAATTCTCAAGAACCTTGTTGGCCTCTGATATAATTCATGGGGTCCAGGCCAATGTAACACGAGTTCTCCACAAATCTTTACTAGATAAGTGCAGCTGTATTCCTGGCTTCTGCTGAGATGGCTGGTTGAATACACAATTTGCATACCTAATCTCTAGCAAACAGTTCTAGCTCTGACCTTGGGCTTTTTTCCACAGCATGCTACTTCAATAGGCAGAGAAGCTTTCAAATCATCAGTGATCTCTTTTTGCTTAGCATCTCCTTTTCACCTTACTCTCCCCTCTTGCACTTTGTTACAAGCAGTACAGAGAAGCCAGATAAGATTATTGACACCTTGCTTAGAAATTTCCTTAGCTAAATATTGGATTTCATCACTTAACAAGTTGTACTTTACAACAAGGAGAATGCAAGTAAGCCACATCCTCTGCTCCTTTATAAGGACTATGTGTCCTTCAGTTTCTAATAACATGCTCATGTTTACCATCTAATATCTTATCAAAAGCACATTTAATATTCATATTCATAGCAACATTCTCTTCATGATGATACATATATTCTCTAAGATGACAGAAACTTTCTCTACAACTCTCCTCTTTTCTTTCTGGTCCTCAACAGAATTTCTTTAATATCCAAATTTCTACCAACAGTCTCTTCAATGAAATGTAGACCTTTTCTATCAGACACCTCAGAATTCTTCTAGCATCTCACTTTCAAACTACTTTGACATTTTTAAGGTATTTGTTACAGCAGCATTCTGTTTTCTGGCACCAGAGTCTGTAAAAACTTTC